ATGGAAATTATAAACATACAGTATGGAGAATGGTATAATGAATATATAAATACCCATTAATTAAAATAACAATAACTTCTATTTTACCTTATCTTCTTATAGTATTCTTTACCAAAGACCTTTAAGCATGTAAACATGACATTTAATCCTTAAACACTTTAGTGTGTGTGTGTGTGTGTATATATATATGTATTTTGCTACATAACCACAATATTGTTAGCACATTGAACAAAATCAGCAATAATCCTCTCATACTATCCAATACCCAATGAAAAATATTTTTCAAGAAGAAATTACTCTAAGAGAGGAAATATTATATATCCAGAATACAACTTGGAGAGATTTTATTTAAATACTTAGCAATCTGTAATAGTTTCCTTTGAGAGACAACAAAATAGCTCCCTTACTTATGGAAAACAAAAAGAAAAAAAATTGTAAGTCTTTATTTTAATTACTTGGTGTTTATCACAAGTACACTCACTAATCCCCATCACCCATTTCAGCCATTCTTCCCACCCACCTCCCTTCTGATAACCCTCAGTTTGTTTTCTATAGTCAAGGAGAAAACAATGTTTTCCATTATACTATGACAGTGGGCAATATAAACCCGAAATTGTTCATGGTAATATAGCTCTGTGTATAGGTTTAACAATGGGTAGATAATTTATCTTGAAAGGTATGTTTTTGAAGAATAAAAATTCTTCAGTTCTTTCATTTCTCCTAAAACTGTCTTCATGTATCCTTCCCCATGAAAAGGACTGCATTTCAGAGCTAAAACATAAAACAGATAATAGTTTCCTCACAGCAGATTACAAATTAGTTCACAAAAACTGATTTCTAAAATTAGCTACTTTTGCTCACCTTTTGTTTAAATTATGTTAAAGATTTTATAAAACTTCAAGCCTCAGAATGTACAGGGTTTTTATTACTGAAGATTCTACAGTACCGACCTTCATTTAATAACATGAATTGCTAACAGTTTGAAATATACCAGTTGATTATGCATTAATACCATTAGAACCTGTATGCTGAATATCAACTGACCTACATCATAAATTATTTCCAACAGTTGCTAAGTTTTATTTATCACAGTCTGTTTCTTGTTAGTTTCAGTAATATTGTAAACCAAGAGGTTATACTTTGACAAAATTGCTAACTAAATACCACAGTGCATGGTAGTTAAGTGTTATATATGCAATACAAGGTTGATAAAAATAAGGATATTCTTGACCACTGATTATTATGTTCATGAAATGGAATGTGGAAGAGGTTAACAGCAAAAATATGGTTCATGATTTTGTCAAAGTAATTTTATGTAGCCTCTTGGAAAGAAAGGATAACAATAATTTTGATATTTTGAAATGGAAGGGAACACTGAATTTAACTACACTTAAAAATACATCAGTAGGATTTCTTCCTTCCTCCTCCACAGGAATTAACAATATATTTCTCACAGATTTCTGTTAGCTACTTCTATTATCTAAATGTCTACCCCTATGAATAAGTGAATGACTCATATCACTAGAAATATTTCATAGGGTTTTATGATGATATTTCACAGAAAATTTCCATTTTACCTTTCAGCTGAAAAATCTTTGGCAGTTATGATTAAAATACAGGAAAAGTAAAAGTTCTGTCAGTGAAATGAGATTTTTTTACTGTACTAGAACACTTCTGCAACTTCAATATACATGTGTACTATGAAATTGCTTTTTTTTTTTTAAGTCTGGCAGCTATGTATTGCTTATTGTGTAGGTAATTTTAAGATATCCGACAGAAGTTTAAACCACTAAATGATAAATAATAAATGAAACATTTATGGTTATTTGCAAAGATAGCTAGCATACAACCAGGAAGTATAGCACTAAAAACCACTGAGTCACAGCACCATGCCATGTAAGGTCAGATGTGTCCAGGGTTAGCCTCCTGGGGTGCAACCAGTTAAGTCTCACAGAACCCCACTACTCAGATGGGCCCTATGCTTTGGGGTATAATACTTTGAGGGCACTGTAGTAAATTCTTAAAAATTTTATTTTTTAATTTGTGTTTTATAAGTGGAGCCAAATAGGATGACACAGCATGCACTGAAGGCTTGGAGACTACTACCTGGCTTCCCTTCTCAGGTTCTCAGTGACGAACTACCTGCTGCCTGGTACCCTGGGCCCCACCTGACCTCCATCTCCTACCCCTGAAGTGAGCACTGAGGCCTTTTGCCCAGGGCAGCAACAGGATTACATTACCAGGGAAGCTGGTGAGGAAGGCCCACTTTCTGCCATGGTCACCCTCCATGGGGAGGTCTGGGCTCCCACAAGTGATTTCTCTGGAGCATATTGAGGCAGAGCAAGGAAGCAGTCATCCCTGCCTTGGGCTGGCCACACAGCATGTTCACTGACTGGTCAGGGTTCCCTTGCCTACCCCTGATCCAGGTAAGTAATGTGTCTTGGAGCCGAAATTTCAATCCCTTAGGGAATCCAATAGGGGTTATTCACCTAGTTTGAAAATAGCAGGCCCATAGGAAGAGAGATTGACTTTGTCTTAAGCTAAGGTCCCATATTCTCATTTTGCACTGGGTCCCACAAATTATGCAGTCAGCCCTAATTTATGGCTCTTACAATCAAAATAAAAAATCTTTATAAACATTATAGCACAGGGGAGTGCCTGGTTGGCTTAGTTGGTTAAGCATCTGACTCTTGATTTCGGCTCAGACCATGATCTCAGGGTCCTAAGATCAAGCCCAGGGTTGGGGTCTGCACTCAGAGGGGAGTTTGTTTGAAATTTTCTCTCCCTTTGTCCCTGCCCCCGTCCATGCATGTACATTCTCTCTCAAATAAATAAAGAAATCTTTTTAAAAACCTATCACAGCATGGACTGTGGGGCATCTCTTTTCAAGTGTTGTTTGTTTTTAGGAGGCTATTATCTTATTTCTCTCAGTTATCAATACATAGTACACTAATTTAGCCAGTTCTTTTTGCATCGGGGCCTTTTCTTTTTTTTCTTCTTTTTAAAAAATTCTTCCTTTAGAGTAAGATGAAACAAAAAGGAAATCTAAACATGTTTTTTAAAAAAGTATAAATAAGCCTGAACATATTCCCATATAAAATAACCTCTCCCAGTTTAAATTTCCCCCTTTTATATGGGAATTGGATTAGAAAATTTCTATGGATGCTCTTAAATGTAACATAGTATTATAAAGCCTATTAAAACTTTAAAAGAGAATCAAAGCTTACACATTAATCATACTTCTGAGCTCAGTTAATTGTCTTCAGGGATTCTTAAATTACTATAAACATTAATTTTTTTAAAAAGCTGTAGAGGAACTACAATATAAAAACATGAACAGCTCTTAAGCAAATATCCCAAAATTTAGGCATCCGTGTTAAGAGTTTTTTTTTTTTTTTAAGATTTTCTTTATTTGAGAGAAAGAGAGACATAGAGAAACAGGACAGAAGGAGAGTGAAAGGGAGAAGCAGACTCCCCACTGAGCAGAGAGAAACTGCTGTGGGGCCTGATCTCAGGGCCCCAAGATGACGATCCAAGCCAAAGGCAGACACCCAAATGACTAAGCCACCCAGGTGCTTCAAGATTAAGAATTCTTAAGAAAAAGTCATAGTTACTGTTATGAAAAGACAGTGGGAACTACTCCCTTATTCCTCTACTTAATAAATGCACATTTCCTAAATTAAGGATGAGAATTCCTTCCTCCTAAACTTATCTTCTTCAAAATCCTACTTTTCTTTTCTTGGCCCTTCATGTGCAAAATAGAGGCTGAGAGTCAAGAGTATCCTAAATAGGATAAAAGCAAGTAAAAAGGTCTATTAATGGTATCTGTCTAGCGGTGCTGGATTGGAGTTTAGGCCAGAAGGAGCTTCTAAGGTGTCTCTGGGCACATGCCTGGCCGTTGTAGAGAAGTCTCTTGTGGTTCTAAGTTGACCTATGATATCAACTGTGGTTTATATTTAGATAATTTCAGGGAGACTGGATCAGTTTGGGGGTTAACCAAAATATTTGGCCCAGATTTTCCCATACTCCCTAAGACTCTCCTTAAATCTCCAAAATAAGAAAAAACTGAAACTCCTAACAGATGCATGGTTCGACTTCAATCCAAAATTTCACCTGGGTTTGAAACCAGATCTCTGATGATGGAGAGAACAAGAAGACATTCATCCTGGTGGGACTTTTATGCTACAGAACTGCCCTATTGCTTGATTTGCATCTTCCAAAATTATAGAATTTCCACAGGGCACCATGCATATAGAAATACACCACAGTGCCCAATTCTTGTGATTAAACCCTATACTGGGAAAGATGAAAACCTCAAAGAGACAGACATAAAATTTATACACACATTAAGAAAGGTTGTCATGGCAACTTTACTTGAAGATATGTATTTTTAAATGTAAGTAAATTTAACATTCAAAACACATTTGCATCTCCCTCAAAGGTTCTGTATCAAGAATATTTTTTAAAAAATTTTCCAATTCCTTCTGAAGCTACACCTCCTTGAAAGCTTAACAAAATCCTTTGAATATAATAGCAGCATACTTAAACACATATTTTCAGAAGGATATAAGAAAAAAATCCAAAGTAAAAGACCAATAATCTTCCTGGTTCCAGAAGCCCTAGGCTTCTCCGTCTAAAATTTAAAATTGTAAGCAGGCCATGCCATATAATCTCTACAAGGCTCTTTTAAGCTCTCAACATCAATTCTCTATTAGCTGATGGCCTTGCAACACAAGCAACAAATCATGAAAGTGGAACACACCTAGTGCTGCCGTATATTTAAGCAACAATTCACAGATGACTACAATAAATATTGTTCCTTAATCTAGTCAAACCGATTCTTTTTTTTAATAAATTAATTTTTATTGGTGTTCAATTTACCAACATACAGAATAACACCCAGTGCTCATCCCGTCAAGTGTCCCCCTCAGTGCCTGTCACCCATTCACCCCCACCCCCCGCCCTCCTCCCCCTCCACCACCCCTAGTTCGTTTCCCAAAGTTAGGAGTCTTTATGTTCTGTGTCCCTTTCTGATATTTCCCACACATTTCTTCTCCCTTCCCTTATATTCCCTTTCACTATTATTCATATTCCCCAAATGAATGAGAACATACACTGTTTGTCTTTCTCCGATTGACTTACTTCACTCAGCATAATACCCTCCAGTTCCATCCACGTTGAAGCAAATGGTGGGTATTTGTCATTTCTAATGGCTGAGTAATATTCCATTGTATACATAAACCACATCTTCTTTATCCATTCATCTTTCGATGGACACCGAGGCTCCTTCCACAGTTTGGCTATTGTGGACATGGCTGCTAGAAACATCGGGGTGCAGGTGTCCCGGCGAGTCAAACCGATTCTTAGTATAGTTTCATCTCACCCTGAAAGTTCTACAGTATTCCTTTTAGCATCAATGTTGACGGTTTTACTTGATAAGACCCCTAGATTCTTCTCTTGCTCATAACGAAAAATAGCAAAAATCATGGTTTGCCATCTAATAGTTCCTGTTCTTCCCTCCCTACAGCCTGTAACTGAATGAAGCCTTCCAAGTGTCATGTAATCATCTAGAAGTTCTTTCCTATGTATGTCCCTTTAAGCTGCTAACCTAAAGGATCCTTGAGCTACTTTCAAAAGCCAGGACCTAGAGAGCTGAGTGCTAGATGCTAGAAGGTTAAGCTCTAGGATGTCGAGATTTTAGGGTTGCCTATCCTGAGGTAGAGCACAGAAAAGAGAGAACACAGTTCTAATGTCATGTCTGTTTTGTTCATTGTTACATTTCCACTGCCTAGTCTAAGACTTGGCATGCTCAATAAAAAACTGTTTCCAGACTAAAATAAGTCTCATGTCTTTGGATGGGAATATAAGTCAGGACTGCAGTGTAAGGGAGAATCAGCAGAGCTACTGGGTGCTGTACTCTCACAGGGAAAAGAGGTAGAGACAAGGGAGTGAGAGAATATGGAATTCAGAACGGCACCTGGGTGGCTCAGTTAAGTGTCTGCCTTTGGCTCAAGTCATGATCCTGGAGTCCCAGAACTGAGCCCTATGTCAGGGCTCCCTGCTCAGCAGGGAGTCTGCTTCTCCCTTTCCATCTGCCCCTTCTCCTCCTTCTCTCTTTCCCTCTCTCTCCAAATAAAGAATATAGAATTCAGGTGGTTTGGTTCTAAGACTATAGTTGTTCCTAAGCTAGAGAGCCTCTGGACCACACATAGTTTAAGGAACCAGCCAAGACAGACATTCCTTAAGACTACTATTTGTCTCTAGGTCATGTTGGACAAAAAGGGTTCTGTTCTTCAGAAGACTCATTCCATGAAATAGTGGTTTTACAGAATAAAAGGTGAAACTGAAAAAAGGGGAACCTACATCAAAAACATTAGGAAGGGATGCCTGGGTGGCTCAGCAGTTGATCGTCTGCTTTTGGCTCAGGGAGTGATCCTGGAGTCCTGGGATTGAATCCCACATCAGGCTTCCTGCATGGAGCCTGCTTCTCTCTCTGCCTCTCTCTCTCTCTCTCTCTCTCTCTGTCTCTCATGAATAAATAAAAATCTTTAAAAAAATTAGGAACATTCAGGGTTATGTCAGTTAAAATAAGTTTCTCTACAGATGAACTTCTCAGCACTTCTGATACATCAATATGTATTCTAAATATCTGAGAAAAAATATAGAGAATCTGAGAGTGAGTATGATTAAGTTACCTTTTCCTCAGAATATCACAAGACAGTGTTCCATGAAACATACTTTAGGAAATAATGCTCTCGCTAACCTAATTTTTAAAAAAACTGTGTTCCTTAAAGATTTCCTGGTTTAATGATAAGATATAGAAGGAAGAAAGGACTACTTGCTTACCCAACTATTTTGGTTGACATTTTGTATAATGACAGAAAAATCATTATAAATCTATGTTCATACCTAGTATAGGCACCACCAAAAAGATGTCCACAAAACATTTTAAATATGTCTAGTCATGGGATATTTAGCATATCACAAAGTTCTACTAGCATTAGAGGTAGTTTGGCTACCTAGAAAACTCAACTATTTAGTAATCACCTTTACTTTATTCTACATGCACAGAAAACCTCAACAAAGATTTCAATCATTTCTTCAAAAATACTGATTGCCTTTTTTTTAATATTTATTTATTCATGAGAGAGAGAGAGAGAGAGAGAGAGAGAGAGAGAGAGAGAGAGAGAGAGAGGCAGAGACACAGGCAGAGGGAGAAGCAGGCTCCATGCAGGAAGCCTGACGTGGGACTTGATCCCAAGACTCCAGGATCATGCCCTGGGCCAAAGGCATGTGACAAACCACTGAGCCACCCAGGGATCCCCCGACTGCCTTTTTGGCAATCTTTACAACTTTATAACATACTTAAAATGGTCAAGTAAAATTTTGTTTCCTACTATCCTGTGTTAAAAATTATAACAAGAATTTGCAAGTATTTCAGATATTAATACAATTGTGGGGTTTTTTTTTAATTACCAAACAGGATATTATTTGCTCGTGACATTTTATTACATGCTATAACAAGATGCATTCCCAGTTTCTAGAAAGCCCCAAACTGTAAATCGATTACACAAGGGAGTTGAATGGAAGAGGAATGTCCTTCCTGCCCCTTTGTTTATCGCCTGGATGTTTTAAAAAATGGTTTCCAACTCCAGTTTTACAATTATCCATTCAGTCACTCAGTGTCATCAAAATAAATGTAGTGCTTAATTCAAGGATTTTTATCTTATTTATTTTAATTTTAGTTTAAGTCTATTCCCCTTCTTACCCCCTAAAATCTATTCCCCAAAGCCCTTATAAAAGTAACAAAGGAAAATGTTTAAAATTCATTAAGTGAAAAGCAAACCATACTGTTATGATGGCAATGTGTAAAAATATATGTATGTGGAAACAGAAAAAAATTTAATCAATTATAGATATGGCTGAGTTGGTAGCATCAGTTTTCTTTAAGATTTCTTTTAGTACTGCTTTTACAATACCCTTTTTAGTCAGTTTCTTTAACTATTATGAACACTACATCATTGGAAACTATAGCTTGATTCCCCCTTAAATAACAAAATACGTCAATAAACCCCACTGAAGATACTAATTTGAAATTTAGATCATTTACTTTCTATTTCTTAGCAACTATATGCCTATATTCATTTATAGTATTTTTTCCAGCAGAAATGAAAAACCATGCTCTAAAGGACTAAAGAAAGGTATATAAAGTATTTGGTTTATAACAAATGCTCCTTCCACTCCCCTTCCTACTTGAGCTTAACTCTTGCTGTAAATTCAGTCTCACTCCTTTTTATCAGTGGAAGGCACACACAGTGCCTCAAAGCAACATTGTACTAAGCCTTTCTGGCTGTGCTGATTTCCTCTGACTTCTGTAGTAACAGTAACTGCTTTGTTGTCCTACCTACCCACCCACCCCCACCCCCCTTCTCCCTTTCTACCTTAATCATTGGTCTTAGTACTTAGGAAACAGGCATAGGACTGGCTGAGGAGAGAAATAAGGTCACTAGTATCAATTTGTTGATATTATATAAACCTGCCCTTGAAAATAGTGTCCATTTCTCTCACAAGCTATCCTCTCATAACTACTAACCTTACTTACTCCATGATATTTACTGGCCCATGCCCTCAGTTTTAGAGACTCATTAGAATTGTTTAAACAGTTTTCAATCTGTCAATATAACCACATGTGAAAAAAGTACATTTTATAGGTTAACAGCACTTTTCATGGATCTGGAGAAAAAAATGAAGATGGCTTCAAGAGAAGAATCTTAATCTGTTTGCCCCAGAGTCCAAAAACAACAATAGAGACTCTTTTAAGATTTCTTCCTAAAAGCTGAAATGCCACCTCAATCTGAATTTAATTATAATTTTCTTAGGATAGAAGAGTAATTTCAGGGGCACCTGGGTTGCTCAGTAAGTTAAGCCTCTGCTGTCAACTCAGGTCATGATCCCGGGGTCCTGGGATCAAGCCCTGCAGCAAGCTCCCTGCTCAGTGGGGAGTCTGCTTCTCCCTTTCCTTTTGCTGTTCCCCCTGCTTGTGCTCTCTCAATTGCTCTCTCTCAAATACATAAATAAATAAATAACATTTTTTAAGAGTAATTTCATTTCTTAAATGCTCATTGTAACACCTAGACTATTCTATGCCTTAGCAACTCAGATGTACCAATATATAAATTACTGTTTTGATAAATGGAGGAGGAAGTAAAGCCATTTTCAGTATTGAAAGGAATAACAATACTTGCAAAGGGGAAGAGGAGAGAAAAAGAAATGATGAAAATCTGTGCTTACTTTCTGAGTGAGAAGGATATTAATGTTCCAATTGTAGAAAATGCTACTTGTTCATAAGATAGTACATGTAGAGGGCAGCCTGGGTGGCTCAGCGGTTTAGCACCGCCTTCAGCCCAGGGTGTGGTCCTGGAATCCACGGATCAAGTCCTCCTATGTCAGGCTCCCCTCAAGGAGCCTGCTTTTTTTTTTTTTTTTTAAGGAGCCTGCTTCTCCCTCTGCCTGTGTCTCTGCTTCTCTCTCTGTGTCTCTTATGAATAAATAAATAAAAATAATTTTAAAAAGATAGTACATGTAGAGAACATTATATATAATCTGTCTAAAAATTGTAAGTGGATATAAAAGAGAGCAGAAGCAGCTACCCCAGAAATTTATGACTGGCTAACTCCAAGTAGTGGGACTACAGGTGAGTCTGTTTCCTATTTTTGTGTTTCTGTATTTCCAAAATTTTTCTACAGCAAACCTATATAATTTTCATGACAAAAAAATATAACATTTTGTTTTAAAATATAAACTATTTTAAGATAAACAAGACAAATACATTTTTACATAGGGTCTATAAATAAGATAGAATCTACTTATATAAAAAAAATGGAACTGCACATTTGTGGGCCAGATAAAACAGCATGCGAGTTTGTCATTTTTCCCAAACACATGCACAGAATCAATTCTGCCTTGAATTTTATTAGCACAAAGTGTGGAAGAGCCCTTTCTTTCCATAATCTTTTTTTTTTTTTTTTTTTTTAAGGGAAGGAGAGAGAAAGAAAAAGACAGGGAGGAAGGAAGGAGTGGGAGAGAGAGAATCTTAAGCAGGTTCCATGTCCAGCATGAAGCCTGACCTGGGGTTTGATCTCAGGACCCTGAGATCACCAGCTGAGCTGAAATCAAGAGTCAAATGCTTAACTGAAGCACTCAGGTGTCCTATGCTGGTGTTTTTAACAATAAACTTCTCAATAGTCAAAAAGAATGCAGATCAAAATCAGATAAGAAGTAGTTTTAAAAAACCCAAAAAGCTACAAAACTTAGGAGTCCTGCTACAAGACATTACTGACACTGAGGGTATGCAATTTTAGTCATTTGATAAATATAAAGGGCCGAGTAAGAACAACAGTGAATGGATAAACTTATACATGGTTAACAGTATTTTTATTTTTTAAAATCCACTAGAAGATAATTTATGTGTAATGTTTTAAGTTAGTCACATAACCACTGATAAAATTTGCTTATTTACCTGATTCTTTTATTTTCCTTAATTCAAATCATTATTAGTAATTATACATTGGCTTATATGTTGGCAATATGCCAATTCCCTCACTCTCTGTTCAGCTGCCCTATTTTTCCCTTTATCATTGCTGATCAGGTCTCACTTGCTTTAAAATTCTCCTCATCTCATCTGATTTTACGGACACTTGGTCTACATATCAATTGCCTACTCTAACTTTCCACTGCCAGTTTCTAAACCAATTAAGGTACTTGGATAATAAAGGAAGATGCTCTATATACACAAAACCATACAAAATGATAGGAGGGAATTTAACAGTGTGCCTTTTTGAAATAACATGTTGCTGAGAACTAAGAATACATTTTACTTAAAGTTTTAGAATTTAAATTATTCCATAAATTAACTATTTTCGTCAGATATAAAAGCTGCATCTAATTTCTTAAATTCTATTTTAACCACTCCTAACTAGTTTTAAATGTTAAATCCTATCTGACCATAAACACAGCATAAAATAACTCAATAACTAGGGTAGTCTTGAAACTAAAATTACAAGAGGAATTGAGCAATGTCAAAAATAAACCCACTTGCAAACAGTTATCATTTTTCTCCCTTTCCTCTCTATCTGCACTTGGCATATTTCCTCCAGTTGTTGTCTTAAAAAAAAAAAGTTCCTCAAGAACAATGTAACCAAAAAAAGTGGACTAAACTACAGTGTTATCAATAAAAAGTACTAAATATAAAACTTATCAATACAAGGTGTAAATTTTCAAAGCCACTTAAAATATTTTTAACATAGCCCCAATATTTCTTTGCTTACTAGTGAGACTGACCTTCATTCCTAAAGGTTGAATTGCTACTTCCTCCTCTAAAAGCTGTTTATGTCTTTTGACCATTTATCTATTATGTTTTCTTACCAACTTATACAAGCTATTTAGATATCATATGGATATCATATGGATATTATCCCTGTCATATGTTTTGTAATGTTTGTTTTCTTTTTTTAAAATTTGGTTTTGGTTTTTAGTTGGTGCTTTCTTGTTTCATAATCATTAAGTTCATTATATGACATAATAACAACAAATTAGGGATTCAGTTTTTCCCACAAATGAGAATTGGTTAAGCAATATAGTGCTACTAAAATTTCCGGCAAAACAGAAGGTAAGACAAGCCTCAATCTTAGTTTGTCACTTAGGTGGCACTTCAAAACACATTCAGGAGTTTCCAAACGACTCAGAACCATTCAAAATTATGAGCTTTGTATAAGTCATGAAATGAACACTATTATCTGGGAGGCATAAAAGTAGGCAAGTACAAGGTAGGTCACTCAACCTAATAACAATGATTAAACTTAAACTAATTTATACTCAGAAAATAAACATGTTAATTCAAGAAATAAAATTATGGAAAGTCCTTGTTTTCCCTCTTTAAAGTGATGTAAAGTATGAAAAGAAGTTGGGATGTTTTCCTTTTATGAATATTCAGAAAACATGATTCCCCAAAGTGTGCAAAATAATGTCTCTCTTCAAGAAAATTAGAGATCAAACTAAGAAAAATAATATGAAGATAATGGCATAGAAAGTGATAAAACAAAACAAAAACTAAAAAACAGAAAGTGATTAAACAAAAATTAAAATAGAGAGCTTCCTGTTAGAACCATCATTATATTGATGCAATAAGTATAAATGTATATCATGCATTAAGAAAATCTGATATACAAAAATCCAAATTTACATAATGACGTATGAGTAGGTATAGTATTACTTGGTTTATAAAAAGATTCAATATAGATTTTCTAAACCATCATTTTCCTTCAGAAAGTTAAACATATAAAATTTTAATATCTCTTTGAGACAGTGATCCAAGTTTCTTCCTTGGATGATGTTACCAGTTCATACTTAGTTTCAATAAGTTGTCCCTCCACGGAAAGTAGGTGCAGCCTCCTCACCAGTACACTCAGAAGAACTGTGGCCACCATATATGCAAACCTAGTCAGGAAGAAAGTCGACTGGTTACTAAAGATTAACAATAACACTTTAATTATATAGACTGCTCATTCTCATCAGCAGTCATCAAAATTCTAAGTATAAAGTCTGGCATCTTTCCTTTCACTTTGCTTTCTCTATCACTTACCTCAACTCGGGGCATTCCTGCATGCCTGAGAATCCAAGCAAGGAGAAAGTTTTCATCATCGATTCATCATCAAACCGGTCTGGATCAAATCTAAAAAGATTTGGGGTAAATCACAACAGAACTCCATTGCCATATTACATATTTGTACTATAAAAACATAGTTATCTAATAAAGTCTGGAAAGTACTGAAAATAAAAACTGCTGTCACAATTGTATTTAAATTTCACCATTAGAGGCAACTTAGTTGATTAAACTGACTCTTGATTTCAGCTCATGATCTCAGGGTCATGGGATTGAGCCCTGCTTCAGGCTCAGTGCTCAGCTGAAACTGAATCTCAGTTTGAGATTCTTTCCCTCCCTCTCCCTCTGCCTCTTCCTTCCCCTCCCCTGCACACATGCACACTCTAAAATAAATAAGTAAAAATATTTAATAAAATTCACCTATTATGTTCTCAAACTATTAAACATATATTTAGCTTCTTTCTGCTTAATTTATTATTTCTAAACAATAGAAAACATATTTCTCTGGAACCAGCAAGGAATGAAACTGTAACATGGGTGTGCATCATTTTATGAGATATAAGGATAAATCATACAAAATCACATAATGAATATTTAAATTTAAGAGTGTTCAAAACATCTGTTATATGAGACCATCTCATCAATATGTAAAGCATTTTACACTGCCTCTTCAATTAAAATGTATTTCCTAAAACTGGATACACCAGACTTAAAATTATATTCATCAATTATATTTACCTTCAGACTTACTAGTAAGTGGGGAATGAAGAGGCTAGAAGGGCTTTTTTTGTTTTGCTTTTAAAAGATTTTATTTATTTATTCATTAGAAACACAGAAAGAGAGGCAGAAAATAAAGGCAGAGGGAGAAGCAGGCTTGCCGTGGCGAGCCCGATGCAGGACTCGATCTCGGGGTCCCGGGATCACACTCTGAGCCAAAGGCAGATGCTCAACCACTGAGCCACCCAGGTGTCCCTAAGAAGGTTTTTTTTTTTTTTTTTTTTTTTTTTTTACTTTTTAAAACCAGAACGTTTATTTTGACTAATCGTTGAAATCCTTAAGATGAACTGGATGCTGCAACAGCTGCCCTCTTGGGCTTCGGTGTCGTTCCTTCACGGAATCCATGCCTGAACCTGCGGTATACAATTTTTAGGTGCCTCATTCGACCGGTCTCAGTGGTACTCCGTCTTTTAGCCTTGGCACTCCGGTTATACTTCCTCTTCCGCTTGGCAGGGTAGCCACACTTGCCGCAGGTGGGCTAATGAAGGCGGTAGGCCTTAGAGCCACAGCGGCGGCACAACGTGTGCGTCTTGTTGCGACGCTTTCCGAACCATGAGGTCCCCTTCGTCATCTTGTTTCCGCGGCAGACCCCAAAGAGGAAGGGTTTTTTTTATTGTACAGAATTTTATTTTATTTTTTTAATTTTTATTTTTATTTATGATAGTCACACACACACACACACACACACACACACACACACACAGAGGCAGAGACACAGGCAGAGGGAGAAGCAGGCTCCATGCACCGGGAGCCCGACGTGGGATTCGATCCCAGGTCTCCAGGATCGCACCCTGGGCCAAAGGCAGGCGCCAAACCGCTGCGCCACCCAGGGATCCCTATTGTACAGAATTTTATTCTATAAAAAGTCACTGATGAAATAGGATATATAGAAACAAAAAAAACTCACCCACTATGGAACATAAAAATTCCTCTCAAAACCAAATGTTAAAAGATTTAAACCGTGCCATGAGAAAAAAAAAAAAAAAAAGAATTCTGCTTCATTTTTCTTTTTCTTTTCTTTTTTTTAAGATTATTTATTTATTTATTCACAAGATAAACAGAGAGAGAGGCAGAGACACAGGAAGAGGGAGGAGAAGCAGGCTCCATGCCGAGAGCCCAACGTGGGACTCGATCCTGCGACTCTGGGATCACGCCCTGGGCCAAAGGCAGAGGCTCAACCACTGAGCCACTTAGGCACCCCTCATTTTTCTTTTCTTTTATTATTTTTTTTAAATATTTTATTTATTTATTCATGAGAGACACAGAGAGAGGCAGAGATACAGGCAGAGGGAGAAGCAGGCTCCACGCAGGAAGCCTGACGTGGGACTCGATCCCAGGTCTCTACGACCACGCCCTGGACTGAAGGCAGTGCTAAACTGCTCAGCCACCCAGGCTGCCCTCATTTTTCTTTTTACAAAATGTAAATTGTCTTTCACTACTGGAATATACTAGATTTTCAGTATAGTCCACATAAAAACTATATCAAATAATTTCTCTTTTAAGTTTTTATTTATTTAAGTAATCTCTGAGGCAACTGGATGGCTTGGCTGGTGAACCATCCAACTCTTGATATCAAGGTCATTGAGTTCAAGCCCCACATTGCATGTAGGGCTTAAAGTAAATAAAATAAAATTTAAAAAAATTAAGTAATCTTGGGGCTCCTCGGTGGCTCAGTCAATTGAGCATCCACCTTTTGTTTTTGGCACAGGTCATGATCTCATGGTTCCTGGGATCAGGCCCTGTGTCAGGCTCCATACTTAGGGAGGAGTCTTTCTCTCCTCTGCCGCCCACTTCCTCACTCGCTCTCTCTTCTCTAAAATAAATAAATAAATCTTAAAAAAAAAAATTAAGTAATCTCTACACCCAAAGTGGGGGCTTAAGCTTACAAACCCAAGATCAAGAGTTGCATGCTCTTCCAACTGAGCCAGCCAGGTTTTTCCTTTTATAAACTATCTTGAAAATTGAGACCTTAAATTTTACCCAAAGGTAACTATATATTTTATATTACAAAAGAATCAAACTTGATTTTTCCAATTATTTTACAAAACACCTCACATTTGGGGTGCCTGGATTGTTCAGTTGGTTAAGTGTCTGACTCTTGGTTTTAACTTAGGTCATGATCTCCTGTTCATGGATTTGAACCCAGTGTTGAGCTCTGTGCTCAGTGCAGGGTTCTGCTTCAGATTCCATGTTGGGCTCTATGCCCAGGGTAGTCTCTGCTTAAGATTCTTTCTCCCTCCCCTTCTGCCCTCCTCCCAAAATAAATAAAAACAATAACAACAGCCAAAAACATCTCACAGTTTTAGGATTAAGAATGAAATGAAAGCCAAAATAAAAAGTTTAATCCTAAATACCAAGGAATTTTGTTTTTTTCAGCTTTACTGAAGTATATTTGACAAATAAAATCCAAAGACCTTACTCATCTTATAACTAAGAGTTTGTACCCTTTTATCAGCAGCTCCCTATTTCTCTTACCCTTACTCCTAGCCCCTGGCAAGGACCACTCTATTGTTTCTGTGTGTTTGACTCTTTTTTTCCTTCTCCCAGATTACACACATAAGTGCTACAATGCAGTTCTCTGGCTTTTTTCACTTAGTATAATGACCTCCATGTTCATCCATGTTGCACAAATAGAATTTCCTTCTTTTTCATAGCTCAAAGTTTCACTATGTTGTCTATATATAGTTATACACACATGTATAATGGAATATTCACTTCTTCTTTATCCATGTAACAACTGTTGGCATATATATTTTTTTAAGATTTATTTATTTATTTATTTATGAAAGACATAGAGAGAGAAAGAGGCAGAGACATAGGCAGAGGGAGAAGCAGGCCCCCTGCAGGGAGCCCGATGCGTGACTTAATCGCGGGATCACAACTGAGCCGAAGGCAGGCGCCCAACCACTGAGCCACCCAGGCGTCCCACGATGACTGTTATCAAAAAGATAAGAGAGGACAAATGCTGGCAAGGATGTGGATAAAAGGGAAGTCTGTTTTGTTTTGTTTTTTAAAGATTATTTATTTATTTATTTGAGAGAGAGAGGGCACGTGAGTGAGAGCACAAGCAGGGGGAAGGAGAAGAGAGAGAGGGAGAAGCAGATTCCCTGTTGAGCAGGGAGCCCAATGCAGGGTTTGATCCCAGGACGCTGGGGTCATGACCCAAGCTGAAGGTAGGCACCCAACCAACTGAGCCACTCAGGTGCCCCAAAAGGGAATTCTTGTACAATGGTGGTGTGAATGTACCTGACAGCCACAAGGGAAAATAGTATTGAGATTCCTCAAGAAATTAAAAACAAAACTACCATATGATCTAGCAATGCCACTTCTACATATATATTCAAAGGAAACTGTCATTATCATGAAGAAATATCTGTACTCTCATGTTTATTGGTATCCCTGGGCCATAAAAAAAGAAGGAAATCCTGGTATTTACACAATATGGATGAACCTAAGCCAAAATCAAGAACCACCCAGGCACTGGTATACCTTTCTATTTATATGTGTCACCTTCAATTTCTTTCATCAGTGTCTTATAGTTTCCAGAGTATAGGTCCTTCACTCCTTGGTTAAATTTATTCCTAAATTTTGGGATTTTTTTTTTTTTTTGGTAATTGTAAATGGGATTGTTTTCTTAATTTCTCTTTTTGCTAGTTTGTTATTAGTATATAGAAATGCTACAGATTTCTGTATATTAAATTTGTATACTGAAACTACTAAACTCATTTATTAGCTCTAATGGTTCTCTGATGGAGTGTATAGGATTTTCTATATGTAATATGTTATGTACAAAAAAGTGAGAATTTTACTTCTTCCTTACCAATTTGGATGCCTTTTATTTTTTTTTCTTGTTTGACTGCTGTGGCGAGGACTTCCGTTACTATGTTGAATAAAAGTGATGAGACTGAACATCTCTGTCTTGTTCTTGATCTTAGAGGGAAAGCTTTCAGCTCTTTACCACTGAGGGTGATGTTGGCTGTGGGTTTGTCATATATGGCCTTTATTATGTTGAGTGATGTTCTTTGGCTATCAGAGGTCTTTTATCATTTCATACAAATTTTTACATTATTTGTTCTAGTACTGTGTAAAATACTATTCATACTTTGATAGGGATCATACTTTGTTAATGTGGAAGCAATCAAATCCCTCCCTGAGAAAGACTGGAAGATGGGCATTTGCCTGCCCCCTTTGAATTGAACATTGGAGGGTAGCCACAGTAAGTACATGCATGCCTATTAACAAGTACTTTTTTTTTCTTAAGATCTATTTATTTATTCATAAGAGACACAGAGAAAGAGGCAGAGATATAGGTAGAGGAAGAAGCAGGCTTCCCGCAGGGAGCTCGATGCGGGACTCCATCCTGGATCCCGTGAGCCAAAGGCAGATGCTCAACCGTTGAGCCACCCAGCAGTCCCTTAACAACCACTTCTTTGTTTGCTACTGTCTTGTGATACTTATGAATACAAGATCCCCTGGCTACCAGAGTTAGGTAATTTGGGACATGTCCCTCAGATAGCAGCTATAAAATTGGGATCCTAGATGTGTACACAAGGGAGTTGCTTAGTTTTATTTTGGAGTAAATTGGATGAAGATCATGCCTACTGACTCCCCCAGGCTTCAGGGAGGACCATGGTCATTACAAGGAGATGTGTGCTGACTAGAAGTTGGCCCCTCAGGCAGCAGCTTCTAAAATATGCAGGAACCTCCTTCCAGGAAGAGTTTTTGCCTGTTCCCCTTTTGCTGAGACCTGGGGCAAAAGCCACAGGAAGTGTTTGTGTTCCCATCATACACCATTAAGAACTGCTTCTTGGGGATCCCTGGGTGGCTCAGCGGTTTAGCGCCTGCCTTTGGCCCAGGGCGCGATCCTGGAGACCCGGGATCGAATCCCACATCGGGCTCCCAGTGCATGGAGCCTGCTTCTCCCTACTCCTGTGTCTCTGCCTCTTTCTCTCTTTCTCTATCATTCATAGATAAATAAATAAATAAATAGATAGATAGATAGATAGATAGATAAATAAATAAATAAATCTTAAAAAAAAGATTTATAAAAAAAAATAAAGAAGTGCTTCTTTGTTTTCTATAAGCCTGTGGGACTTGTGAACACAAGCCCTGTTAGCTTTTAGAGTTAAGTATTTTAGAAACCCATATTTTGGGTGGGAGTCTTCAATTTGGGGCAGTAACTGTACAGTCCAAACCTTTTGATTCTCAGGGAGAAGCTGGCAGTTGGGGTCTTCCTCTCAATTAAATGGCACTGTGCTGGGAGTGGGTTTATGGTAAGAGTGTGTCTCAGCCTTTCCTACACATTTCTTTCTATCTATCTATCTATCTATCTATCTATCTATCTATCTATCTATTATTTATTCATGAGAGACACACAGAGAGAGAAGCAGAGACATAGGCAGAGGGAGAAGCAGGCTGCATGCAGGAAGCCCAATGCGGAACTTGATCCCTGGACTCCAGGATCACCTCCTGAGCCAAAGGCAGACGCTCAACTGCTAAGCCACCCAGGCATCCCTTCTACACATTTCAGTATGCATATTTTCTCATTTGCCCAATGTGATAAGACACTCAGCTAGCTTCTGGATTTCTCTAAAAGGTAACTGTTCCATGCAGAGCAACACTGAGTGTGCCATGAAAGGAAGGAAATTCAGGAGCCTGCTATATCACCATTTGGTCTCAGTCCATACTGAGGTTTCTGATACTTGCCTTCATTCTTTTCAGTTGAGAATTTTATATGTTAGTCTGGTTTTTAAATGTGATAATATTTCATAATATACTATAGAGTAATATTTACATTATTATCTACTTAAATCATAGAACTTGACCCATGTTTTCTTGCTCTGAAACACTGCCAATGTGGTAATAGTAATAATGTATTTCTATCATTTCTTTTTATTTTTAAGATTTATTTATTTAAGAGAGAAAAAGACAGCAAGACCAGGGGGATAGGTAAAAGGAGAGAATCTCAAGCAGAGTGCAGAGCCCAATGAAGGGCTTGATCTCACAACCCTGAGATCATAACCTGAACCAAAATCAAGAGTTGGACACTGAACTGACTGAACCAACCAGACACCCCTCTATCATTTCTTTTTATTAAATAAATCATATCCAGACATTTTTTCTATAGGGAGAATATGTTAATGTCAGTTACTCAAAAAGAAAACTTATAAAAACTAATGAAATACTACCACCTATTAGAACAGCGGAAACAAACAAACAAAAAAACAAAACAAATCAGTGATAGTAGTCAGTGCTACTGAGGCTGTAGAGAAGAAGAATCTCTCAAGCACTGCTGGTGAGAATCTCTGAAAAACAGCCTGGCAGTTTCTTGCAAAACTAAATGTGCACTAAACTATATGACCCAGCAATTGCATTGTTGGGCATTTATCCCAAAGAAATGAAATCTTATGTTCATACAAAAACCCTTACATGAATATTCATAGCAGCTGCATTACCAAAACAACCCAAATGTTCTCCAGTGGATGAAAGACTGAAAAACTATGGTATTTCCATATAAAAGAATACTATGCAGCTATAAAATGGGATGAAACATACTACATTTGCCTCAAGAGCATTAAGTTTAGTGAAAAAAGTTAATCTCTTCATCCTTGTCTCTGTGTGACAGTTATTTTTTTTTTAATTTATTTATTTATGATAGTCACAGAGAGAGAGAGAGAGAGAGGCAGAGACATAGGCAGAGGGAGAAGCAGGCTCCATGCACCGGGAGCCCGATATGGGATTCGATCCCGGGTCTCCAGGATCGCGCCCTGAGCCAAAGGCAGGCGCCAAACCGCTGCGCCACCCAGGGATCCCTGTGACAGTTATTTTTAAACAGTAATTGTCTCTACAGAGTCTCAGTCTATGTACATTTTTGTTAGTGTGAACTGTCTCACAAGGGGAGGTGCCCAGCTTCAGAAACGTTTTCATTAGTATTCAATATTATTACTAACATTTCCTAAATCTGATTAGATTTGATTCCTAGAAATAATTTCCACATTTTAACATATATATTTTTTAATATTTTCAATTTGTGACCTAGATTCTCTTTTTTTGAGGGACAGGAATAGTGTCAAAAGTTCCAGCAAAGTTCTTATATTTTTCATATTACACTTCAAATTTAGCAAAAACTTGGCATTTTCCACATGGTAATTTTTAAAAACTTGGCATTTTCCACATGGTAATTTTTAAAACAATTTTAAAATTGGAAATACTAGTTTTTTAGAATTATAAGCATAAATTTTTCCACCAATGTATATCTTCAATTTTGTTATGTCATTTGGAATATAAAATTTACTTTTTACTTACAGCAAATTTTAAGATTGTTATTTCATTTATTAGATTTCTTTTAATATAATTATATTAAAAACTAAAATAAGAACACTTAATAAACCCATTAATACACTCCAAAACTAGGCACAAGTATTTTAATCATGCCACCAACCCTGTCTCACTACACTTAACCCAGTTATATTTTATTTTAATATTTTGTTTTTAAGTAATCTCAACACCCAAAGTGGGGCTCAAACCTACAACCCCAAAATCAAGAGTTGCATACTCCAAAGACTGAGCCAACCAGGCACCCACAACACCTGTCTTAACCCCAATCAACTTAATATATAACCTTCTACCAGGGCAGTAAATCTTAACCCTTTTTTTTTTTTTTAAAGATTTTATTTATTTACTCATGAGAGACAAAGAGAGAGAGGCAGAGACACAGGCTGAGGGAGAAGCAGGCTCCATGCAGGGAGCCCGATGCAGGACTTGATCTCGGGTCTCCAGGATCACAACCTGGGCCAAAGGCAGGCACTAAACCGCTGAGCCACGGTTAAGGCTGCCCTTAACCCTTTTTTTTTTTTTTAAGATTTTATTTATTTATTTCACAGAGAGACAGAGCATAGGCAGGGGGGAGAGGGAGAGGAAGAGGGAGAAGCAGGCTCCTTGATACATCCCAGGACCTAGGAAGCTAAAGGCAGACATTTAACCGACAGGATTTTACTTGATGCCTATCTAGAAAGCCAACAGTAGCAGCTTTGTTCTTCACCTTTTCTTTCTCCTGCCATTCTCATATATAACATGTATAGAAACAACATCTACTTTCTGAATTTGACTAAAGAGATTAATAATTGAGACCAACAGCAGGAAAACAAAGAAACTGCATAAGAACACTAACTTACCAACAAAAGAATTCCAAAATTCCACTGAAATTAAAGTATAGTTGTAGAGATTAAAAGGATCTTAGGGTCCCTGGGTGGCGCAGCGGTTTGGCGCCTGCCTTTGGCCCAGGGCGCGATCCTGGAGACCCGGGATCGAGTCCCACGTTGGGCTCCCGGTGCATGGAGCCTGCTTCTCCCTCTGCCTGTGTCTCTGCCTCTCTCTCTCTCTCTGTGACTATCATAAATAAATAAAATTAAAAAATATTTATAAAAAAAAAAAAAAAAAAAAAGGATCTTAGGGGATCCCTGGGTGGCGCAGCGGTTTGGCGCCTGCCTTTGGCTCAGGGCGCGATCCTGGAGACCCGGGATCGAATCCCATATCGGGCTCCCGGTGCATGGAGCCTGCTTCTCCCTCTGCCTATGTCTCTGCCTCTCTCTCTCTCTCACTGTGTGCCTATCATAAATAAATAAAATAAAAAAAATAAAAATTAAAAAAAAAATAAAAGGATCTTAGGATAGAAGTGATAATAGGAAAGACAATGAGTAGCAGATAGCGGATTCATGAAAGAAAGTAGTGAACAAAAGATACCAAAGAGGGACGCCTGGATGGCTCAGAGGTTGAGCGTCTGCCTTCAGCTCAGGCCGTGATCCCGGGGTCTGGGATAGAGTCACACATTGGGCTCCTTGCAGGAAGTCTGCTTCTTCCTCTATGTCTCTGCCTGTCTCTCTGTGTCTCTCATGAATAAATAAATAAAATCTTAAAAGAAAAAAGAAGATACCAAAGAGAAGGGAGTGGCTTTTATATTATATTATTATCACACATTAAATTTTCTCCTCAAAACTTACAAAAGGAATGCAAAACACATAAAAATCAATAATTACAAAGATAAAGAGCTATTTCATACTTGTGTGGTGATGGCCAAGTACTGGGATCCTGCAGTATCACACCAAGCGCATAAAGAACAAGGGTCTGCAAAAAAATTACTCTAGTTAGTCAAGGCTTAACAGAAACAAAATGACTGCCAGAGAAACAACTCATCCTAAATGCTCTTTTAATATAGATAATCAATACAAAATAAAAATAGAAAGTAATTAAAGAAAAGGTCATTATTTTGATGATTTTTACAGTACAGAAGGCCTCCCTAGGCATGACAAAATCTGGCAATCATAAAGGAATAACAGACCTAACCATGATCATTTAAAACCTGCATCCAGTAAAAACAAAACATACCAAAATCACTAGTAAAAGATAAATAGTAGGAAAAATATATTTTCCATATAATTGAGTGTATGTACAATATACAAAAAGATATAAGTTTACTAGAAAGAAAAATGACTTACAAGCACATAATTCACAAAAGAAAAAATACAAACTGTTAAATATGTATGAAAAGCTGCTCAATCTCTCCAATGATCAAGGAAAAGCAAATTAAAATAATGGGACAATATTACATATAAGAAATATGTAAAAAAATTCATAAATCCAGAGTTGGTGAGGATATGAAGAGAAATAGCACTCACACATTGTTGCTAAAAATATATATTGCCTCTTAGGGGGCAATTTAAATTTAACATATATAAGCACTTTGACCCTAAAACTCTATTTCTAAGGCTCTACTCAATACCTATACAAGTATATGATTTGTAATAACAAAGAGTTGATGTAATCTAAATTTCCACCAATGGAGACTGCATTTACTATAAACACACTCTTCCAATGGAATAATATATATCCATTAAAAATAGTAAGTTGGATCTGTATCAAGTACCAGTTGTACTAATTAACCACAATACACCTAATGCAAGCAAATTAATGAACAATATATGAAAAGCAACCTTTCACATATAAATTCAATTTTTAAAATACATACATATATGTGTATATACACAGAGTAATATACATACATAGAAAAAGATCTACAAATATACACAGCAAAGTATTAACAGTAGTACATGTGAAGAAGGGAGCCTTTCTTTTATATTGTTTATACCCTAAAACGACATATATCATTGTCATTTAAAATAACAGGTCATTTATTGGACATTTTAGACAATTCAATACACACTGAAAGAACTGAAAAAAATAAATGAATAAGTTAAGTATGCCAAATGTTTCCTACCTCTTTAGGAATAATAAATTTGTCAATCTTTCCTTCAATACCTTGAAGCCGGGCAGAAACTGGGGTCAGTTTGGCAGTCCGAACAGTTTCACAAAGTACGTGCCGACAATATCTGTTTAAAAGAATTTTTTTTACAGTTCTTAACTCTAGGAAAGGCAGTTTGAAATGTATGTACATTTTTAAATGTCATTCAACAACTTTAATAATCTTCCAAATTTGAAATAGTTATATAATTCTAATTTGCTTGAAAATAAGTTATATATTAGAGGTATATAAAGTACAGATAGGTATAAATTTTAACAAATAAAAACAACTTTAAGAGTACTAGAATAAAACTCAAAACAGTATTTTTATTATTGAGTAGAAAAGTCCTTTATTTTTAATAAAAGATTTTAGAAATTTTAACAAAGAACTTTCCTCCTCAAAAATTATAAAAATACTGACACAATGACAGAAACCATAAAGAAAAATACAAGTAATCCAACCATGGAAATTTTTTTTTTTTACATATTTGCAATCACAAGTACAACTGAAAAACAACTGGGAAAAATAAGTATGTATATTTGTAATGTCTAAAAGCTCTTTAAAAATCCGTAATTAAAATCATCAAACACCCCAACACAAAAATGTACAGGGGATTAAAAAAAAACAATTCACATACAACAAAATACAAATGGTCTAGAAACATGTGAAATGATACTCAACCTCCTTAACAATGGAAAGATTGCCAATTAAAGCAAAATTTTTTACTTGTCAGAATAGCAAAAATGAAAAAGAATGACAATAGACAATACTAATAAAAATGGGGGAAAATACATTATCCAGTTGTGCAAAGTATAAATTGGTACACTCTTTCTGAAGGGTAACTTGGCAATATGTCTAAAAATATTAGGCATACATCACAATAATAAAAGCTAAAATGCATTGAAATCTTAACACAAGCCAATTCTTTTAAATACTTTCTATGCAGTATCTCATTTAATCCTTATAAGAACCTCATGGATGCTATTTCTGTTTTAATTTTATAGATTTTTAAGAAATAAGGCAATTGTCTAAGATCACATAGCAGGGAAGTGATGTCAACAGGATTCAAACCCAGGTCTGCCTTACTCTATAGTCCCTAATCATAAATACTAGATTATTGTATATATCCTTAAATATCAATCTCATCTTTAGGACTTTATTAACAGAAACAAGTGGAAATTTAAATAAAAATGCAAGGGTTGGAATTTTGATTGTTTATATACTTAAAAACAACAAAACAAAAAAGGAAACATCTTTCTTTCCTTCTTTGAACAAGTATTTATTGGGTACGTGCTACATTAGAAGCACTGTGTTAGATACTGAGCTACAAGAGTAAATAGGACAGATACAAAGGCACTCAAGATCTAGTTGGCATGGAAAGAGAGAGAGGTAGGATGAACAAGGATTGTTCAAGGATTAACAGTTTAAAAAGCATAGTAACTGTGATGATAAAGCAAATTCAGGGTTTTGGAGAACACATGGCAGAAGCATCTAACTGAAGAAAGGACTTTGTAGAGAAATAAGCACCTGAGGCTAGGACCTGCAGGAAAAACTGGAGTTAGCTAGAAGAAGAGAAAGGAAAAGAGAATCCAGACAAAGAAGTAGTCTGCAAAAGCCAGGAGATAAGAAAGAGTACTGCAGCTTTGAAGAAACAAAACAACTTCAGTATAGCTAAATTTAAGGTATGAACAGATACAAATAAGAGATAAGGTGGGAAAGGAATATAAGGACTAGCTCTTGAAATGCCTCATAAACCATGTTGGTGAGTTTAAATTTTATCTTAAGGGCAACCAGACATCGCTGAAAAGATTTTCAACTGGGGAGTCATCTGCCCAGATGTTGACTCCGCAGGTATAAAAAGATTACTAGAACAGTGATTCTCAACATTAGAATTAGAAATAGAACATATTGAAATCTGAGAAGCTTTTGAAAACTTCTGATGCCCAGAGACTGTTGGTTTGGTATTGGTCCTAAGTTATCTGTATGTTTAAGCACCTAAAGTGTTTACTGCATGGAGTCACAGGCTCCAGTAGCAATTTGGAGACTGGATTAGAGGGAGCAAGATCCAAGGCTGTTGAAACATTCCAGGCAAGTTGACAGTGGTCTGAATAGAGTGGGGACAATGAAAAGAACTAAAATTAAACTTCCAGCTATAAGATGTTTGGAAAGTATAATCAACAGAACTTAATTGCTAACTGGGTGTGGTAGAGTTATACATTAAAGAATACTGCCCACAAAATATTTAGAAAAAAGAAGGAATTGACAGAAGAATTCTATTTTTATATTTTAAAACTTTCTGAAATTTTTAAAATATATATGCATATATATGGAGAAAAATCTAGAAAAATAGTAGAAATAGTTAACAATTGTCATCTCTTAAGGATACATTTACAGAAAACCTTCACTTTCCACTTCATACACTTCTGCATTATAAAAACTTCAAGTGACAAGTATTACTTTAAAATGAAAAATTGTTATATTTAAGGTAATAAGGAAAACTTTCAACATTTTGAAGAATTTGTTAACAGAAGTCTCCCTATCTTCTTTTCTATGATTAAAAGAGGCTCCAAGATAGAGTTGATTGCCTACTGTCCAGGCTCAGACTTCCAACAGTCATAGTTGCTATTTTTAAAATATCTTTTTAAAAAATTTTTTATTTATTTATTCATGAGAGACACAGAGAGAGAAGCAGAGACATAGGCAGAGGGAGAAGCAGGCTCCACTCAGGGAGCCCGATACGGGACTCGATCCAGGATCCCTGGATCATGCCCTGAGCCAAAAGCAGATGCTCAACCCCTGAGCCACCCTGGTATCCCCTAAAAAATCTTTTTAATTAAAGTATTATCTACATATGAAAATTAATCTGTTTTACCTATACAATGTGGTAAATGTTAGTAACTGTGTACAATTCTGCTACCACAACCATCATCAAGATACAGAACAGTTTCTTCACCCTAAAAACTTTTCTCATTCTCCCTGCCGGTTAATCCCCTCCACATTCCTGGCCCCAAACAACCACCAATCTGCTTCCTATCACAATAGTTTCACCTTAATGAAATCACATTGTATACAGTCTTTGTGTTTCACTTCTTTCACTTAACATAATGACAGTTATCCACTTTGTTGTATATATTGATATTCTATTACTTTTTACCACTTGGGAAGATTCCAAGGTACAGATATAACACAATTTATGTATTCACCAGTCGATAAACATCTGAACTGCTTCCAGTTTTTTGCTATCATGAATAATATTGCTACAAACATTTGCATAAATGTCTCTGTATGCACATATTTTTTCATTTCTCTTGGATAAATTTCTCTTGGAGGATTTCTGGGTTGTATGGTAAGTGTATGTTTAACTGCCACACTTTTCCAACAGGTCTGTACCATTTAGCATTTCCATCAACAAAATAGGAGCGTCTGCTTACTTAAATCACTGATACTATTTTATATAGTCTAATGTAAAGGTTTCCAAAAACTACCTTATGATTTTAAAAAGCAAATTAAATTATCTAATAAAATCTGTATGTAAATATTTTAAGTCCTATAAAAATATATAACCTTTCCTAGATATTATCATTAGCTTTATTTTTTTAAGACTTTATTTATTCATGACACAGGGGGCGGGGCAGAGACATAGGCAGATGGAGAAGCAGGCTCCATGCAGGAAGCCCAATGTGGGACTTGATCCCAGGTCTCTGGGATCATGCCCTAGGCTGAAGGCAGACACCCAACTGCCCAACCCAGGGATCCCTTATCATTAGCTTTAAATAAGATAGTTAAACTACATCAAATTTACCTATTAATGATCTCCTTTTTGTTGTATTCTTACCTGAGCTGCTCAATTTTCTCTGGAGTAATAGGATCCTTTCCAAAAACATGGTCTATCTCTTCATAAAGTTTTTTCTGAACCTCTTCAGAGGTGGTTAAAAAACAGATTGCCCAGGTGCACACTAAGTAAAAATGTATATTAATAACAATGAAAATAGCAAATTCATAGTTTGGGTGTAGAATAAGATAAAATATACTATTTTTTTCTTGTATTTTCTTTTCTGATATGGAAAATACATACATGCTACCAAAAAAATAAAACAAGATTGTTCACAAGATTTGTACTTCTTTGAACAGAACATGAATATTTATATAATACTTCTAAAGAGATCTGCAATTTCTTTCTTAAAACTGGCAAGTAACTGAAGCCAAAAATGCATTTTACCTTCAGTTAAACCATAATGATAATAAATAAACTTCCTTATCTGGAGGAGTGTTAAATGTTGATAACTGTAATGGATTGTCTGGTTCACCCAACCTTGTGTAATAAAAATATTGATTTATCAGTTCTTTCAGGAGACCTAATGAAATGATTCATACAAATTAAAGTAGCAGGATATTTACCTATATATACATCAATATTCTAAATTTTTATTTGCAATGGTAAATACACTGGATCAAGAATGGGCACTGGTTATTGCTTAGGATAATGGTTTTCAAAATCACTTGGGAATCGGCTGATGGCACAACCCCACATTCAGAGATCCTTTTCTTATTTTTTTAAAGATTTTATTTATTCATGAGAGACAAAAAGAGAGAGGCAGAGATACAGGTTGAGGGAGAAGCAGGATTCCTGCAAGAAGCCTGATGTGGGATTCGATCCCAGATCCTGGGATCACACCCTGGGTCAAAGGCCGACGCTCAACTGCTGAGCCACCCAGGCATGCCATAAATTCCATTTAAAAATATATATTTTTTAATTATTTGATAGAGCGAGTGCAAGTGGAAGGGAGGAGCAGAAAGAGGAGATGCAAACTCTGTGTTGAGCAGGGAGCCCAATGTGGGGCTAGATGTGGAGATCGATCCCAGGACCCTGGGATCATGACTTGAGCCGAAGGCAGACACTTAACCGACTGAACCATCCAGGTGCCCCACCTAAATTGCATTTAATCTCTAATACCTGGACATCTCTAGATGTCAAAAAAAAATTTTTTTTTAAGATTTTATTTATTTATTCATGAGAGACAGAGAGAGAGAGGCAGAGACACAGGGAGAAGTAGGCTCCATGCAAGAAGCTCGATGTGGAACTTGAACCTGGGAATTCAGGATTATGCCCTGAGCCAAAGGCAGGTGCTCAGCTGCTGAGCCATCCAAGCATCTCTAGATGTCAAAAATTTTACAAAGAAGAAAAACATAAGGGAAGTTTACATTTAAAAAAAAAAGATTTTATTTATTTATTCATGAAAGACACAGAGAGAGAGAGAGAGGCAGAGACAGGCAGAGGGAGAAGCAGGCTCCATGGAGGGAGCGTGATATGGGACTTGATCCCGGGATTCTGGGGTCACACTCCAAGACAAAAGCCGCTGCTCAACCGCTGAGCCACCCAGGCATCCTGAAAGTTTACATTTTTAATCATTGTTTTTAAACAGAGAATTGGAAATGAAATCCTTCAAATGAACATAATTTTTTTTATTTCAAACTGATGTTTTAATACTTCCTTTAGCATTTTATATTAGTATATTTCTATAAACATACGCAAATTTCTATAAATAACCATGTGAATGAATGGTACTTTGCTAAACTAAAAAGCAGTAAGGAAACTTAGAAATATATCATACATTTTAGAATTTTAAATAAAAGTCACCTTCAATTCCACCAAGAGAGGAGTTCTTTTAAATCGTGATTTCTGTGGCCTATATCCTCTGTTGGTAGACCTTAATAATAGCAAACTGGATTGGAGTCAAAGTGAAAAGCTGCAGCAGGAAATTGAAAAGCTTGCTGCTCTGGTTGGAAAGGTGTCAATAGCAGTTCATTTTAAAGGCACTAACTAGAATTCACAATCCATAAACTGTGTCAAGAAATTTATGGCAATGTTCAGAGGTGGCATAGAGCACCTGGGGTGAAAAAAAAAAAGGTAGCTATGTGAATCAAGCCTTTCAAACAAGAATAAAAAAGTCTAAAAGAAAGAAAATTATAAAGAGGTCTTGCAAACAATGTTTCCTTTATTTTACCTGTGTATATTTTATAATCTATCTCAAAAAGAAATCTTACTTACTTACATAATAAAAAGAAATCTTACTTACATACTTACATTTTGCGGTTATTATGCAACTGGCCAGAGAAAATATCATACTGTCTTCAAGGATCTAGGAGAGGAAACTAAGTTTAGAAAGTGTAAAATGTAAAGTGGCCTGTATTAGACCCTACTAAAATAACCTATAGTATAGAATTAGGGTCAAGGAAAAGGAAAAAAGCATAGTATTTCTTTACAATGTTTTCAGTTAAAAAAAAAAAAAAAAAAGTAAAACACAACCTAAAAACTGCATTGGCTTTTTGATGCAATAAACATTTATTGGTATTATCACCGGCTCCTGCTCTGTGTTTTGCAAACAAACTGGCTCAGTGCCATCTTTCGGGCTTGGCCTGGTGCAGCAACGCAGCCTCACGAACAGTAGAGGAGAGGCTGCTGCTGTCCTTGGAGTCTCACTCAGTTTCTGCACCTTCACACATCCAGAAAACCATTCTATGAAGACTTGTACGTGGAGAGTGGGCAAAAGATTCCCACCATGAACAGGTGTGGAAATGATGGCTCCACTCTCATCCTTGGCCTGACAATAACACAAACAAGTAGCACGCCGGGGGTAACACAGGCGCTCTGGGAGCAAGCCAAGCTGCCAAACCTAGTCATGTAAGTCCTCCTCTTTTATGATCGGAGAATTTGATTCAATATTTGCCTACCCCAAAGTAAATAATACACAGTTGCTTCAAAGAGCTAAGGAACAAGAGACCAAATACTTGTACTATTTATGGATGATGTACAATAAAAGAGAAGCCATATTAGGAGGGCATCTGGATTAAAGTGAATTCAAAGCACATTATACATGTATGATCATTGTTTACTTGATAAACATTTAACAATCACATCACCTGTTGGTCATTAAGGTTCCCTTGTACTAAGGAGTCAATGAAAATATGTTGGCTGAAGTTCTTTCCTTTTCGTTCTTTTATGATTTTCTTTAAAATAGATTCCAGTTGCATAAGAGCTTAGAGAAGAAATACAAAAAAGATTTTAGAATAAGCATTTGTAAAGACTGAACTTTTAAAAATATTTCTGTACAATGTTGCTGTGTGCAGAATAAAACTTAAAAAAGAGTAGTAACCAACAATTTTTAAGAAGCTCATTAATATTTAGATTCATCAACTTTTCTTTTTGCTAAATTTTACATACAAAAATCTTCATAAACTATATATGTACAATTTAAGGAATAATTATAAATTATATGCTATCACCATATTATCACTACCCAGGTCAAGAACTAGAACTAATGCCTGCACCTGGAAAGCCTTCACATACATAAACCTCTCCTTTGATACTGTCTACTTTCCTTCTAAATTCTGCCCTCTTAACTCCACTCTTTTCCCACATCAGGAATTTAGGGGGGGAGGATCCCTGGGTGGCTCAGCGGTTTAGCGCCTGTCTTCGGCCCAGGGTGTAATCCTGGGGTCCCGGGATTGAGTCTCACATTGGGGTCCCTGCATGGAGCTGGCTTCTCCCTCTGCCTGTGTCTCTGCCTCTCTCTGTCTCTCTCTCTCTCTCTCTCTCTCTCTCTGTCTCTCAAGAATAAATAAATTAAATCTTTAAAAAATAAAGGAATTTAGGGACAGAAACAGATGTGAAATAATCAGAATTGTAAATTTCTGAAACCAAAAAGATATAGGATAAATAACTGGTATCCAACAGCCAAAATTATCCAGGGGTCATTCCTCGGTCTCCATCTTACTTGACCCGTCAAGGGATTTGATGATGTTGATCAAATACTCTCTAGGTGTTAAGATTTTCATTTGGATCTTGGAATTCCATGCTCTCCTGGACCCCATACCTTCCCCTTCTTTGCTGCCTGCTCATTTTCAGTGGCCTTTTGATGATTCCTTCTCATTTCTCAAACTTCTTAATGATAGAATGACCAAGGTCAGGACTGTTTTTGGACCTCTCTTCTTTTTCTATTTACATTCATTACCTTGATGGTCACTAGTCTCAAGGCTTTAAACACAATCTATGGACTGAATACTCCTAAATTAATATTTCCAGTCAGGATCTCTTTCCTCTGAACTCCAGATTCATATAGCTAACAACTAATTTAGCATCTCCACTTAGATGTCTGAAGCCTATTAAACATAACATATGCACAAATGAACTCTTGATCTTTCCCCTCCCAAACCAGATCTTCCCAAGTCTGCCCCATCTCTCTAACAACCTCATTTTCCAAATATTCAGGCCTAAAACCTTGGTGTCTCCTTCTCCCTTACATCATACAACTAACCTGTCAGCTAGTGTTGGTATTCTAACTTCAAAATACAGAATTACTCTTCCTTACTTTTTCTGCTGCCCACCACCTAGTCCGAGTCACATTGTTTCTCTTGCATGGTTCATTGCAACAGCCCCTGAATTAGTCTCTCTGCTTCTGTTCTAGGTGCTTATAACTTATCACAGCAGCCAGAATGACCCTTTAAAAACATAACTCAGATTGGGGCACCTGGCTGACTGAGTTGGTAGAGCATGCAACTTTTTTTTTTTTTTAAGATTTTATTTATTTATTCATGACAGAGCAAGAGAGGCAGAAACAGAGGCAGAGGGAGAAGCAGGCTCCATTTAAGGAGCCTGATGCAGGACTTGATCCTGGGACTGAAGGATCACAACCTGAGCCAAAGGCAAGTGCTCAACCACTGAGCCACCCAGGTGTCCCAAGCATGCAACTCTTGATCTCAGGGTTGTAAATTAGAGCCCCGCATTGGATGTAGAGGTTACTTAAAATTAAAATTTTTATTATTTTTTCTAAATAAAATCTTAAAAAAAAAAAACATAACTCAGATTATAACTGCCAAGACTTTCCAGTGGCTTCCTATCTCATAGTAACAACCTAGTCGCACAAAGAGCTATCCCCCCAGTCTTTCTGGCCTCATCTCTCTACTACTACTCTTGTGACTGACTTTACTCCAGCCAAAAAGTTCCTTGTATACCAAATATACCAGAATCCTACCTCAAGGACTTTGCAATTACTATTCCTCTACATAGAATCTTCTTCTTTGGACATGTGGATAGCCACATGATCTGCCCTGAATGGTTTCCTTATGTCTTCCAAGTGTTAGCTCAAGTCACCTAATCTTACTGGGGCCCTTCCTAATCTTTTTTTTTTTTTTTTAAGATTTATTTATTTATCCATTCAGAGAGAGCGAAGAGAGAGGCAGAGACACAGGCAGAGGGAGAAGCAGGCTCCCCGCAGGAAGCCCGATGTGGGACTCAATCTCCGGTCTCCAGGATCACACCCCGGGCTGCAGGCGGCGCTAAACCGCTGTGCCACGGGGGCTGCCCGAGGCCCTTCCTAATCTATTTAAAATTGCAACCTCCCCATTCCTAGCACACCCTATCCTCCTTCTTGATTTAATTTTTCCATGGCCCTTTTCATCTTTTAACATACTATTTGGTTTACTTATTTAGATTATTGTCTGCCACTTCCCACTAGAATGTGGTACCACAAAGGCAGGCATTTTTGTTTTGTTTTGTTTTGTTTTGTTCATGGATATCTCTCCAGCACCAAAAATATACCATAATATTATAGATATTCAGTAAATAGTTATAGAATTGCAGGAGTGTAACACATTAGTGATTAAAATGAAAAATTAGGGCAGCCTAGGTTGCTCAGCGGTTTAGTGCTGCCGTCAGCCCAGGGCTTGATCCTGGGAATCCAGGATCGAGTCCCATGTCGGGCTGCCTGCATGGAGCCTGCATCTCCCTCTGCCTGTGTCTCTGCCTCTCTCTTTCTCTCTTTCTCTGTGTGTCTCTCATGAATAAATAAATAAAAATCTAAAATAAATAAATAAATAAATAAATAAATAAATAAATAAATAAATAAATAAAATGAAAAATTAACACTGTGATGCAGTGGTTCCTAACTTTGCTACAGATTGGAATCACCTAGGAAGCTTTTTTTAAAAAAAAAATCATAAAGTAGGGGCATCTGTATGGCTCAGTCAGTTAAGTGTCTGACTCTTGATTTTGGCTTGGGTCATAATTTGGGTAGAGAGATCCAGCCCTGTGTTGGGCTCCACAGTAGGCACGGAGTCTGCTTAAGATCTTCTCTCTCTCCTTCTGTCCCACCACCCACTACTTTTGCTTTCTCTTAAAAAAAAAAATTGTAAAGTACAAGTCACACCTCATACCAATTAAATCCAAATGTTTAGGAATGGAAGCTTGATGTCAATATTTATTATTTTTTAATTATTTATTTATTTATTTTGTAATCTCTACACCCAGTGTGGGACTGGAACTCATGACCCTGAGATCAAAAAGCCCATGCTCTTCTAACTGCACAGCCAGGTGCCCCCTATATTTCTTAAAACATTCAATGTGTAGCAAAGTTTGGGAACTATTGCTATATATTCTCAACCTTACCAATATATCAGAATACTCTGCGAAGCTAGATATATCATAGATATATCTAATGCCCAGGGGGCCTCTCTCTTAGACTTTGAATAAACTGGTTTAGGGTGAGGCCTGATCTTCAGGGTTTTTTTAAGTTCTTGAGGGGATTTTAATGTACAGACCAGGTTAAGAATGACCCACTTAAACAAAGGATGCACTGATTCAGCCATGGTATCCTACTCACATAAATACCAAAGAATCATTTTCTTTCTTTTTTTTTTTTTCCAAAGAATCATTTTCAATAAAAGTTCAAATTTGATTTATGCCAGTGTTAAAACCTAAGGAACATAACATGTTAGAAAAGCTACTTTTATTTAGAATAAAAGAATATAAATTATTAATTTTTATTTTGTATTAATTGAACCAATATTTGTGAAATACATTTTTTATTAAGGGGAATTAGTCTTAATGCATCCATCAAGATAATCACAAAGGCAACAAAAACCAGAGTGCAGAAAATGTGTCTGTTAAATTGGTTTTTTTGGGTTTATGTTGGACATCAAGGAAATCACTAGAATGGTAAGCCCCATGAGGGCGGGGAATTTCGTCTCCTACACACAAAACAATGCCTACAACCCTCAATAAACATTTATTGAAAGAATGAAGGATGAGAATACTGGGGAGCAATATGATTATATATGAAAAATAATCCACTGTTCCAATACAGCCCATGTATTTTAATTTACCCTGCTTCTAAAAAAAAGGATTGAAGCAGGTCAAAATAAAGGTATTAAAAGGATTACAATAATTGAATTACTGACAGAAGATATACAACTAAAATAGAATAATTTTGTGGAGTCATCTTAAACTAAAATTGCTTTTTTTTTGTTAGATTTTACAAAGTTGTAACTAATGCCCAACAATTTTGAAAATATTTTTACTCTTGTTATAATAGCAAGAATTGTTATGTTGCTACATGTTTTACAAATATCTATACAATATTTTAGTTGGTATTATTTCTTTAGCAATTCCTATCTATATTGTTGGACATTTAGATCGCTTCTGGTTTTCTATTTACAGAAATAGCACGACAAAAAAAATAACATTTTTCTTCTCTTCGATAATTTCATTCATTATTTATGTATCTTAATATGTATTATCAAGTTTGCTTTCCTAAAACTGCACCCTTACATTTTCCTATAGGCTATACCAGCCTCATTCTAGAGTGAGTACTAGAGTTTCATTTACTGATTCACTGCTTTTACCTCTCTTTTGTTTAGGAAAAACCTTTTTAATATAGGAAATGTAGGAGAAAAACATAAAGACAGAAAATATACATGACCTATAATCTCATGATTCAGAGAGAATCTTATTAAAATTGGGGCACATATCCTTCTGTCATTACTATAGTTTAAGAGTGGCAAAACTTACCATCTTCATATTGTTTTTTCCGAGTAGTACTTTTATCAAGTGATCCATCTAAAAAGCCTTTGCCAATCTCAGACCAAACCTGAAAATAGGAAAACATACCTATTATCTAATAAAGTAGATTTTTTTTAAGTAATAACAAGCAATCTCAGCCAATAATTGAGGAACTCCTATCTTACCAACAGATGTGATAATTAAGCTCTCCCTTTTAAGTGGGCTGCATAATAATTTACTCCATAGTCTCTGAGGACAGAATACAACTATATTTTAATAATTTCAGTCAGGGTACTTTAAAACTAATTATAACTAGAAAGTCAAAAGTCTCTTTTCTTTAAAAGGTGTAGGAATGGGGACTAAAAGGACATGGCAGTGGAGCCAATATTCAACTTTATTTTAACAGTGGATAAATCAAATTCATAGGGAATTCCAAGTTTTCACTTCATCTATGATACAATAAGCATTGGCTGAGATTCAGAAAAAAGGTTAAATATTTAGTTTAAGGTTTAGGGATAGTAAACAATTAAACAGAATTCTAATTATTTCAAAACTGGATAATTAGTTCCTGAAAAAACCTTAGCTTATTGAAAATTTGTGAAAGAACATAGGGAAAGGATACAATACTCATGCTAAATATTTGAATAATTATTAATAGTTAAGAGTCCTTAACTCTTACCTTACAAAGATATATGGATTATGGATTTTTTAAATGTGAAAATTTAAATTATTAAAAGTATTAAGAAAATGTAGAGTAAATGTTTATATTAGGATTACCCTTAAAGCAAGAAAGGAGGTTTTTGTTTCTGTTTTTTTATGAGCAGGGGAAGGGGCAGAGGAAGAAACAGACCCCCACTGAGCAAGGAGCCTGACACAGGGCTTGATCTCAGGACCCCAAGATCATGACCTAAGCCATCCAGGTGCCCCAGGAAAGAGAGCATGACACAGAGCAGAGGGCAAAAATTCATAATTCATTTAGCTACTTTATCCCAATGACAAAAAGCTGAACAGATTGAAAAATCAACAAGTCTTCTTGGACCCTAAGACAAGAGAAGACCCAGGGATTAAACAAACTGAGAAAAGAGGAAGACAGGAAAGGGCCCGGGATTAAAGAGACACATGAAAACAGGGAGTTACCTCTTACCAGAGAGAGACCCACGAACAGAAACCACCTCAGGAGCCAGTTCTGGGGTAGGAAAACCTGAACTGTAATTAACTGCTGGAGGTTCAGTGCACACAACTTTGAGAATTAAAACTCCAGGGAGACCCAATCATAGGCCAGACTCCCCCCCCCCCCCCCAAATATTGTGAGATTTACCTCAAAGAGCTCAACCAGGTTCCCACAGTTAAAACTGAAGAAATTCCCCTTGGGCTTCTAGCAGAGGGACTGAAAAAGGAACCAATTTGAAATAAACCAGAACACTCTATTCTTCCTAACAAGGCCTGCCCTCAGAGCCTAACCTGCTGGGGTTTTGTCGGAGCCTAACTGCCTGGGACAAGGGAAATATCCCACTCCAGTCAGGGCTAGTGTTTCATGTGGAAAAAGGAAAGTACCAAATTCCAGCCCACTAACCATCCTGTCCCACCTAAATGAAGAGGAAAACCCCCCGGAGAAGCCCTTATGAAGTTCACAATCCAGAGGCACAGGCTCACTAAAAGACTGACACCTAATCATAGGACTATGGGATGCTCTCCCTTTCCCCACACCTCACCACCACATTACTAAAGGCCTATTGACACCAGTTTCTTTTACATGGTATATCACATACAGCTATCAAAAAAAAAATTACAAAGGGCAGAGGAAACACAATTGAAGAAACAGAGCAAGCATGAGAACGTGGATATGGCAGGGACATTATCAGATAAGGAATTAATTAAGTAATTAATTTAGGGCATGAGAGGTGGGGGGGGAGTGAGAAAGATAACCTCAAGCAGGCCTCACGCCCAGTGTGGAGCCCAGCTCTGGGCCTGCTCTAACAACCCTAAGACCACAACCTGAGCCAAAACCAAGAGTTAGATGCCCAACGACTTAGCCATTCAGGTGCCTCCAGGAATTTAAAATAACTGCTTAATATGTTGCTAAAGGTTCTAAAGGATCCTTAGGTAAAGGATAAAGTACACATGCAAAAACAGACAGGCAATGTAAGCAGAAAGATGGAAATCCTAACAACCAAAACGAAATGCTAGAGATAAAAAACACTGCAGCAGTAGTGAAGAATGCCTTTCACAGGCTTATTAGTACACTGGTCACAGCTTAGGAAAGAATCTCTAAACCAGAGGATATATAATAGAATCCTCAAAAACAGTTTCTTACAAAACTAAACATACTTTTACCAGCAATCACACCTCTTAGTATTTACTCAAAGGAGTTGGAAACATATCCACACAAAAAACCTGCACACAGATTTTCACTGCAGCTTTGTTCATAACTGCCAAAACTGGTAAGCAATCAAGATACCCTTTAGCAGATGAATGGATAAACCGTGGTACATCCTGACAATGCAATACTATTCAGTGCTAAACTAAATGAGCTATCAAGCCATGAAAAGACATGAAGCTTAAATGTAAGTGAAAAATATGTAAGTGAAGGAAGCCAATCTGAGAAGTCTACATACTGAATGATTCCAACTATATGACATTTCTAGAAAAGGCAAAAAACTATGAATACAATAAAATGATTGGTGCTTGCCAGAAAGAAGGGGCAGGAGGTGAATAGACAGAGGATTTTTAGGGCAGTGAAAATCCTTTATATGTTATCATAATGATAGATATACGTCATTATACATTTGTCCAAACCCACTGAATGAACAATACCAACTGTGAACCCTTGGAGTAATTATGGTATGTCAATATATAGGTTTATCCTTTGAAAAAAATGTACAATTCTGGTAAGCGATGTCCATAATGGTAAAGGCTATGCATGTGTGGAAGCAAGGCGTACACAAGAAACTTCTGTATCTTCCTCTCAATTTTTGTTTTTCTTTTGAGAGGGAGAAGGAGAGAAAAAGTCCTAAGCAGGCTTCACACCCAGCACAGAGCCCAATGTGGGGCTCAATCTCACAAGTCTGAGATCATGACCTGAGCAGAAATCAAGAGTTAGATGCTTAATCAACTGAGCCACCAAGACCCCCTTTTCTATCAATTTTATTGTAAATCCAGAATTGCATTTAAAAATAAATGCTTTTAAGCCCTATAAATGAAAACTGAGATAAAAATAAAGAGCTCTTGGGATCCCTGGGTGGCGCAGCTGTTTAGCACCTACCTTTGGCCCAGGGCGCGATCCTGGAGACCCGGGATCGAATCCCACGTCGGGCTCCCGGTGCATGGAGCCTGCTTCTCCCTCTGCCTATGTCTCTGCCTCTCTCTCTGTGTGTGTGTGACTATCATAAATAAATTAAAAAAAATAAAAAATAAATAAATAAAGAGCTCTTGGGCTATCTGGCTGGCTTAGTCAGTAGAACATGCAACTCTTGATCTTGGGGTCATGAGTTCAAACCCCACCGTGGGCACACAGTTTACTTTAAAAAATAAAGATAAAATTTTAAAAAATAAACAGCTCTTTCTGATTAGTAAGAAACACATCAGTAGGAATATAGGCAAAGGGCATAAGAAAGTATCCTACAAAAGAAGCACAAGTGTTCAATAAAAATATTAAATGATGTTTAACCTTATAAACAAAAAATATAAATTATAATCATGTAATAACACTTTTGACTTATTACATAGGCAAATATTTAAAGGACCAATAACTCTAAATGTCAAGGAAAGAGCAACTAGCGTTGGGAAAATAATTGGAACAATGTTTTTGGAGGGGCATTTCAGAAACACAGTATGCAACTATATGTGAGGAGTACATTTTTCAGTTTGACATCTGGAAATCAGTATACATTCTACAATTGATGGCATCTCTCAACTGTTGTCAACCAAACAGCAGTCATGATGCAGTTGTCATTGCCTCTGCATGTATTAATTGGTTATTATTCCTGGTGGCATGATAGAACAACAGCGACACTGTGGTGCTGCAGATATTAAAAGATCATTTGAAGAAAGAATTTAAGTCATGTTTATGGTCTGAAAACTTTCCTTTGACAACTTCTAGTACTGTTAAAAGAATACCACATTCCAAAAAATACATAGTTTGAATTTACTCAAATCCAAATTGAGACACTGCACAAAATAACTACCCTGTATTTGTTAAATGTCAAGGTCAGAAAACAAAGAGAAACTGAGGAACTGTTCACATTAAAGAGGTCTGACTACAGAAAATAAAGAAATTTGAATATGGGCTATGGATAACAGTATTGTATAAATGTTTAATTTCCCAAGTTTGAAAACTATGTTGTCACTATGTAAGAGAATACCCTGTTTTTAGGAAATACAGACTGAAGTATTTGGAGGGAAAAAATGCAAAATGTCCACTTTTCTCTCAAATGGTTCAGGTAAGAGTGGGAGCAATGAAAAGACAGATAAAAGTAGATAATGAATGACAAAAGCAAACACGGTAAAATGTGAACTGATGAACCTAGGTAAAAGATATATGGGACTTCCTTATACTAGTTGCAACTTTTTCTCTAAGTTTGAAATTATTTCTATTTTGAAGTTCTAAGGAAAGAATGAAAAAAGGAAGAGAAAGAAAATACCAGCATAAAAATATATAGAACAGGTCATCTTGGAAATAATAGTGGATGCCTCTTTTAAAAAATGCTATCTTGGGATGCCTAGGTGGCTCAGCGGTTAAGCGTCTGCCTTTGGCTCAGGTCGTGATCCTGAAGACTCAGGATCGAGTCCCACATCAGGCTCCCTGCATGGAGCCTGCTTCTCCCTCTGCCTATGTCTCTGACTCTCTCTCTCTGTGTCTCTCATGAATAAATAAATAAAATCTTAAAAAATAAAAAATGCTATCTTGTCAACATGAAAAAATCAGACAATAACGGAGTCAAAAATCGATTCTTCATTAAAATATGAAGGCATTTTAGGAATTCCTTAACCAATTTATTTTGCCTGGGTACAGATTAGTTTACTCTAGGAAGTGGAAGTTAGAGTGATTTTTCCACCTTTATTTTTACACTCCTGAATATGTTTTTTTTTTAAATTTTTATTTATTTATGATAGTCACAGAGAGAGAGAGAGAGGCAGAGACACAGGCAGAGGGAGAAGCAGGCTCCATGCACCGGGAGCCCGACGTGGGATTCGATCCCGGGTCTCCAGGATCGTGCCCTGGGCCAAAGGCAGGCGCCAAACCGCTGCGCCACCCAGGGATCCCCACTCCTGAATATGTTAACAAGAAATATATATTTGTTAATCATCAGAGATATGCAGTTAAAACATTTTAATGGGAAAAAAATATATTAAACAGTAACAGGGTGTAAAGCCATAATTCGTAGTGATTTTAATTTTAAACACACTACCCTGATTATTTAACCAAAATGTTTTTTATAGATTTGAATAAAATAAGGAATAATCTTTCAGAGACCCAAAATACAGCAAAATGACTTGCATTTGTATGATTTGAATCAATTAAATTAATATTAGGATTAAATAAATTAATATAGAGATTGTTAAAAATATAGAATAAAATAAATTCCATATGCAAATTTAGAAAAAAAAAGTAAATCAATTTTAGACTGAATTAGCCTTTCTTTAAGTCACATTCATTTCATTAGCATTTTAAAGCATTTTTTTAATAATTTTTTTTTAATTTTATTTATTTATGATAGTCATCACAGAGAGAGAGAGGCAGAGACATAGGCAGAGGGAGAAGCAGGCTCCATGCAGGGAGCGCGACGTGGGATTCGATCCTGGGTCTCTAGGATCGTGCCCTGGGCCAAAGGCAGGCGCTAAACCACTGTGCCACCCAGGGATCCCCATTTTAAAGCATTTAAAGCATGTTCCACTGGCTTTAATTTCTTTCTATATGGGACATAGTCTAGTTCTATTAAAGTTTTTCTCTTTATTCTAGAATTTAGTAACATATTTGATAAGTATTAAAAGGAAATTTCTATAGTCATCTACTTTTTAAATTTCAAAAATTGCTTTAAAAAAAGGTAATTCTTGGGGCACCTGGGTGGCTCAGTCAGTTAAGTGTCCGCCTTCAGCTCAGGTCATGATCCTGAGACCTTAGGTTCAAGCCCACATCAGGCTCCCTGCTCAGCAGAGAGCCTGCTTCTCCCTCTTCCTCTGCCTGCTGTTGCCCACTGCTTGTGACTTCTCAATCTCTGTGTCAAATAAATAAATAAAATCTTTTAAAAAATATAATTCTTACATTTTTTAGAAAGACAATTATCTTTGCTTGCATTGCCATTTTAGCTCAAAACAAGGAAATTCTACACTACAGGACCTTAAACCTTCTTGAGAGGTGAAGTCTGTATCATTAAACTATCCAATTTGATGAAAGAATAATTTTACATTTGTCCCAAGACTTACTGTGCCATGATTCTTCTGGAAGTGAATGACCTGCTGGTCATCTTCAAATGTACTACCCATTACCATCTGTGTAACAGACTTCATAGCAAAACCAAGCATATGCTGGCAGAGGGGTACATGCTGGGACTCTGGGTAAGAGAGCCATTTATCTAATAATTCTTCTGAAAGCTGAAAGGGAACAGAAAACCACAATGATTTATTAATTTCTCTTGATAAATCTTAGAAAAATTCAGCAAGTAGATTAACTTCACAGTTCAACTCTGTAATCAAAGTAAACATTCAGGTGTTTACTTGATTTGTCAGGCTAACACTGGCTCTATCTACAATTATACCCTCAGTGGTTCAGGTTCAGATTCTGTCAAAGGGTTTTGATTTACAAAACAAAACAGAACCACCATCATAATAATACAAACAGAAAATATAAATGAAAAGTTCAAGAGTTGAAAAAAACCTCAAACCTAATAGAAATTAAGAGACTAAAATCGTAGTTTCTAAAAATATTCTAAAATTTAAAAAAAAGGTTCATCACATTCAATAAACATAAATATGTAAAACCTTACACATGCTTCAGTGACAGAAACTTCTCAGTCTCTTTGCCATTCCTTCATTCAATAAATATTTATTAAATCCCATGTGGAATAAAAACAGTGGGTAGTAAAGAGACTTTGGAGTCAGAAAAAACTTTTCCCTTCTAGCTCTGTCACTCAGAAACAAGGTGACTGCAAGCAATTTGCTTGACTCTTCTATGGTTCAGGTCTCCCAACAGGTAAATGCATATGACAAATCCTGTCTTGTGTGGCTGCCGTGATAGGGATAACTACACCCATGTCACATAATGGAAGAAAGGTTTTGTGGGGTAATATACTTAAATTTAAGTTCCTCTGCCATATCAAATCCATGAAAGTTTTGTCACAATGTAAAGGATTAAAATTAAGTATTGTGAGAAAGAGAATAAATGTTCAAAATGAAAAGAATCTCACTACATTTTTTTTTTGAGAAAGAGAAGGGAAGCTTTAATGATTCCATAGTATCAAGATTAATAAGTTGAACCAGTTAACATACTTTTTTTTTAAAAAAAGTTTATTTATTTATTTATTTTATTCATTCATTCATTCATTCATGACAGGCAGAGAGAGGCAGAGGGACAAGCAGGCTCCCTTCAGGGAGCCAGATGCAGAACTAGATCCTAGGATCCTGAGATCACAACCTGAGCCAAAGGCAGATGCTTAACCACTGACCCACCCAGGTGCTCCCAGTTAATATATTTTAAAAGAATTCTTTGAGGGGATCCCTGGGTGGCTCAGAGGTTTAGCGCCTGGCTTTGGCCCAAGGTGTGATCCTGGAGACCCAGGATCGAGTCCCACATCAGACTACCTGCATGGAGCCTGCTTTTCCCTCTGGCTGTGTCTCTGCCTCTCTCTCTCCCTGTCTATCATGAATAAATATATAAAATCTTTTTTAAAAAAATAAAAGAACTCTTTGAGATGGGTGAAATGTGAAGAAAATAGGAAGATAATGATTAAAACAGAGTATTACTACATAATTTAAAAATTACTTTCATGTTATGAACAAAATAATTCCGATACCTTAAAAATTTATATTCTATAGTAACTACTCAAGTTCACATAACTTCATACTAAAAGGTGAAAAAAGATGTTGGAAACAAACCATTAAATTGAGGCTATTTCTAGGCAAACTTAGAAAAGCCAATGTAAGTTTGACTTACAGATAATCACAGACATTCCAAATGTGAAAGGTAAATATTGGGGGTAAAAATGCTTTCTGGTAGAAAAAATAAAACACATTAATAGATACATAATGAACCCATAAGATTTCCTTTGTCTAAACAAAGTTCTTTTGCTTTGTTTATCTCAAAACAACTCTAGGAAAATATGGAACTTGCAACCATCTCAGATTCATGCACAGAACTGGGAAAAATCCCACTGAGTGTTAAGTGTTCACTCACTCAGATACTGAAGTACCAAACCTTACCTTCTTCATCAACTCAGTCTACTCCAGAATATCTTTTTTTTTTAATTTTTATTTATTTATTCCTGAGAAAGAGAGAGAGGCAGAGACATAGGCAGAAAGAGAAACAGGCTCCAGGTAGGGAGCCCAATGTGGGACTCAATCCCAGGACTCCGGGATCACCCACTGAGCCAAAGGCAGATGCTCAACCCCGAGCCACCCAGGCGTCCCTACTCCAGAATATCTACTCCTTTTTAAGGAACTTGTCAGGCCAAACACTACGTGACAAAACTACACTCTTATACAATCTTAGTATTGAGCCATTGTTTGAATTTATCCCAAGTATCACATACCAATTCCGAGTCTTTACCTTGAAGATCACATTTAAAGGAAAATTTACTTTGGTATAAAGTGTGCATTCCATTGATTTATTTGTTCACCTAATTTTCGAAATGCTCACCATTAAGTATGTATCTTTTTTCCACTAATTTGAAATGCCACTCATTATACATGGATTCCCATATGAACTTGGCACTTTTTCTGGACACTGTCTATTTTGTCAACTCCACATATGCCACTATCACAACTTTGAAAATTTATTGGTATGTTTGTTTCCTATTACCATTCTCTTTCTTCCCAATTTTAATTTAAATTTAAATTCTAGTTAACATATATAGTGTAATATTGGCTTCAGGAGTAGAATTTAGTGATTTATCACTTACATATAATGCTTATCATAACAAGTACTCTCAATACCCATCATTCATTTAGCCCATCCCCCACACTCCTCCCTCCATCAACCCTGTTTGTTCTTTATAGTTAAGAGTCTCTTGAAGTGCCTGAGTGGTTCCCCTGGTTAAGTGACTCGATTTCGGCTCAGGTCAAGACCTCAGGGTTCTGAAATGGAGTCTCAAGTCAGGCTCCATGCTCAGGGGGATGTCTGCTTCTCTTTCTTTCCTTCCCTTGCTGCCCCTCCACTCCACCATTCATGTTCTTTCTCTAAAATAAATAAATGAATTTTTTTTTTAAAAAAAAGGCCCCTTATGGTTTGCCTCCCCCTTCTCTTTTCTCCTCTTCCCACATGTTCACTTGTTTTCTTCCCTAAATTCCACACAAGTGAAATCATATGGTATTTGTCTTTCTCTGATTTATTTCACTTAGCATAATACACTCCAGCTTTACCTATGTTGCTGTAAACGGCAAGATTTCACTTTTGATGGCTGAGTAATATTACATTATATATACATATATACCACCTCTTTATCCATTCATCAGTCGATGGGCATTTTGCTCTCTCCATAGTTTGACTATAGTTGATATTGCTGCTATAAGCATCAGGATGTATATATTTGAATCTTTATTTTTGTATCCTTTGGGTAAATACCTAGTAGTGCAATCACTGGATCATGGGGTAGTTCTATTTTTAACTTTTTGAGGAACCACTATACTGTTTTCCAGAATGGTTGCACCAGGTTGCATTCCTACAGGGTAAGAGGGTTCCCCTTTCTCCACATCCTCACCAACATGTTTTTTACTGTGTTGCTAATTTTAGCCATTCTGTCAGGTGTGAGGTGGTATCTCACTGTGGTTTTGATTTGTATTTCCTGATGATGTTTAACGTTTTTTCATGTGTCTGTTAGCCATCTGGATGTCTTCTTTGGAAACATGTCTATTTTATGTCTTCTGCCCATTTCTTGATTGGATTATTTGGTTTTTGGGTGTTGAGTTTGATGAGTTCTTCACAGATTTGGGATATTAACCCATTATCAGATGTCATTTGCATATCTTCTCCGTTCTGTAGGCAGCCTTTGTTTTGTTGTTTCCTTTGCTATGAAGAAGCTTTTTATCCTGAAGTCCCAATAATTCATTTCTGCTTTTGTTTCCCTTGTCTCCAGCAATGTGTCTTGTAGAAGTTGCTACAGCCAAGGTTAAAGAGGTTAAAGAGGTTGCTGCCTGTGTTATCCTCTAGGATTGTGATGGATTCCTGTCTCACATTTAGGTCTCTCATCCATTTTTTTTTTTAATTTTTAATTTTTTTAATTTTTTTCCTCTCATCCATTTTGAATTTATTTTAATGCATGGTGTAAGAAATGTGGTCCAGTTTTTCCAACACTGTTGAAGAGACATTCTTTTTCACACTGGCTATTCTTTCCTGCTTTGTGGAAGATTAGTTGACCATATACTTATGGGTCCATTTCTGGGTTTCCTATTCTGTTTCATCAATGTATGTGCCTGTTTTTCTGCCATTATCAGACTGTGTTGATGATTACAGCTTTTGAATACAGCTTGAACTCTGGAATTGCGATGTCTCCCATTTTGCTTTTCTTTTTCAAGATTGCTTTGGCTATTGCAGGTCTTTGTGGTTCCATAAAACTTTAGGATTCTTTGTTCTAGCTCTGTGAAAAATATTGGTGGTATTTTGAGAAGGATTTCATTGAATGTGTAGATTGCTTTGGGTAGTATAAACATTTTAACAATGTTTATTCCAATCCATGAGCATGAATTTTTTTCCCCATTTCTTTGTGTCCTCTTCCATTTCTTTCATAAGTGTTCTATAGTTTTCAGAGTACAGATCTTTTACCTCTTTAGTTAGGTTTATTCCTAGGTATCTTATTGTTTTTGGTGCAATTGTAAATGGGACTGATTCCTTTACTTTTCTGCTGCTTCATTTTTGGTATATAGAAATGCAACAGATTTCTGTACATTGATTTTATATCCTGTGATTTTGCTGAATTCATATATTAGTTCTAGCATTTTCTGGTGGAGTCTTTCAGGTTTTTTACACAGAGTATAATGTCATCTGCAAATGGTGAAAGTTTGACTTCTTCCCCACTGATTTAAGTACCTTTTATTTCTTTTTGTTGTCTGGTTGCTGAGCCTAAGCCTTCCAATACTATGTTGAATAGTAATGGTAAGAGTGAAGATCCTCGTCTAGTTCCTAATTGTAAAGGAAAAGTTCTCAGTTTTTCTCCACTGAGGACATTTGCTGTGGGACTTTCATATATGGCTTTTATGATGTTGAGATATGTTCCATCTTTGTTGAGGGTTTTTATCAATAGATGCTGTATTTTGTCAAATTTTTCTGCATTTGACTGGGGGGATCATATGGTTCTTATCCTTTCTTTCATTAATGTGGTATATCCCATTGATTGATTTGCAAATATTGAGCCACTCTAGCAGCCTAGGAATAAATCTTACTT